CCGCCCCTGCCGCCCCGCCCGGCCGGGGGCCGTGGCCGGCCTAGAGCTGAGCAAGGCACCTGGGACGGGCTCGCTGGCCCCCTCACCCGCCAGCGAGGGGAGCCAGCCCAAAGGGGGCTGCCGTGCGCTGGGTTCCCAGCGGTTCGCAGCCAGGTGGGCAGGGCAGGGGATCCGCAGGGCTCTGGGTGGGACCGGTCCCCTTCAATCGCTTCGTCGGCGATGTAGTGCCATAGGGGGGACGCTTGTGAATTTGCAGATACCACCAGGCTGGGAGGGGCCCCCTCACCCGCCAGCGAGGGGAGCCAGCCCAAAGGGGGCTGCCGTGCGCTGGGTTCCCAGCGGTTCGCAGCCAGGTGGGCAGGGCAGGGGATCCGCAGGGCTCTGGGTGGGACCGGTCCCCTTCAATCGCTTCGTCGGCGATGTAGTGCCATAGGGGGGACGCTTGTGAATTTGCAGATACCACCAGGCTGGGAGGGGCGGCGAGTGCATCATAGTCCGAATGATCAGGAAAAACTGGAGCACTGGTCGGAGGTAAAAGGGATGAAGTTTAATAAGGGCAACCTTCAAAGGGCTCCGCTTCAAGGAGGCACAATCTGTTTCACGCACATGGAATGGGAAGCGACTCTGCAGCCCTCCTTCCTAAAGGGACCTAGAGGTCACGGGGTGGCACGGCTACAAAAAGAGCAAGTATGATTCTGGGATACGGTATCAGGCACGCTGCGAGCAAGACTCTAAAAGTCGTTCTTCTGCTCGACTCTGCACTGATTAGTCCTCAACTGGAGTATTGTGTCCAGGTCTGGGCACCACGTTTCAGGGAAGATGTGGACAAATTGGAGAAGGTCCCGAGTAGAGCAACAAAAATGATTGAAGGTCGTTAAGCACTGGAATAAATTGCCTAGGAAGGTTGTGGGATCTCTTATCATTGGAGATCATTAAGGGCAGGTTAGACAGACACTTGTCAGAAATAGTCTAGTTCAGTGGTCACCAACCAGTAGATTGGAATCTATTGGTAGCTCTTGGAGCCTGTGATAGGGGATCTTAACTGGTTTAGCCAAGAGGCTATCAAATGCTGGCATTTCGGCTGCCCCTCGCAGGTGCAGGTATATGTGCTAGTATATTTATACCTGCTTTGGTAATTTCTACTCCATGCATCTGAAAAAGTGGGGTTTTGCCCATAAAAACTTATGTCCAAATAAATCTGTTGGTCTTAAAGTGTTGCAGGACTCCTCGTTGTGTTAGGGCAGTGGCTGTGCTGCTTGGATCTGGCGTGACATACACAGCACTTCACATCTTGACAACTATGATGAGTTTGACCAAAGACTAAGGAGTCCTAGGAAAGACATACAATTAATTGGCATTGGAAAAGGTTAATTTAGCATCGGAAAAGGTTCAGAAAAGGGCAACAAAATGATTCGGGGTTTGGAACCGGTCCCATATGAAGAGAGATTAAAAAGACTTGGACTTTTCAGCTCAGAAAAAAGGAGACTAATAGGGGATATGACAGAGGTCTATAAAATCATGTCTGGTGTGGAAAAAGTGAATAAGAAAAAGTTATTTACTTATTCCCACAATATAAGAACCAAATGAAATGAATAGGCAGCAGGTTTAAAACAAATAAAAGGAAGTTTGTCTTCACTCAGCACACAGTCAGCCTGTGGAACTCCTTGCCAGAGGATGTGGTTAAGACTAGAGCTTTAACAGGGTTCAAAAAAGAGCTAGATAAATTCATGGGAGTTAGGTCCATCAATGGCTATTAGCCAGAATGGGTAGCAATGGTGTCTCTGGCCTCTGTTTGTCTGGAGGTGGGTGACGGGAGGGATCACATGAGGATTACTTGTTGTGAGCCCTCCCTCTGGGGCATCTGGTATTTTTCACTGTGGGCAGACAGGACACTGGGCTAGATGGACCTTTGGTCTGACTCAGTATGGCCGTTCTTATGTTCTTAATGCACCATTCCTACCATGCAGAGCATCATCTTTCTCCAGGACTTCTAGCAGAGCTGGCTAAGATGTTGGGCCTGTTGGACTGAGCCTTACTGCCCTCCCCAGCTGCAGTATCTCTGGGAATGGTGACTCCTCTGTGTAGGCTTAAGATTTAATGGCCTCTGAGAGCCACAGGATTGTGCCACAGTTTCTGTTCAATTTATGTTAAGTGGGAGCACTTTGGTTCTGATCTTTCTGGTGAAGACATAAGAGCTGTTGTGCAACCAGTTGTGATAGTCAGAGTCAGATCTTTGCCACCTAGAGGCAAGACCATTCCCATCAGGGTGTGCAAAAAGGGCTGAGTCTGAAGGGGAGTAGCTCTTCACTCGCTCCAGAGTCCTGAGCGATGCTGCTGCCTGCTTGCTGTAATGGCGACATAACCATTTTAGTCCATGACAGCAGACACGTTGGCCCCATGCACTTCAAGGGCTGCTGTGGTGAAGAAACAGTAGAGAAACACGAGACGTGGACACCTTGGAAGAGAAATTGGTGGGAAAAGGGGAGGAACTCGGCGGTCTCTGCGGTGTGGGGGAAGAAGGGCTACAAGGAGGAAATGTTGGCAAGAGAAGAAAAACTGCAAGCTGGTCAGAAAGGACCTGAACCCTCTCTGGCCTTGCAAAATCAAGGACCAACTGGGGGCTTGTAAACAGTTTGGCAAGTTGGAGCCACAGGGTTAAATTTCTGCAGTCCCGGAGGTCCTCCTTGATTTCTAGTCCTACTGTTGTAGGAATGTCAAGTGAGGAAAGCAGGTGGGAACTTTCTTTCTGGAAGTCGCTGGGCAGGCAGGTGTGCTGGCCTCCCGGCTCCGTGGCCTTGCAAAATCAAGGACCAACTGGGGGCTTGTAAACAGTTTGGCAAGTTGGAGCCACAGGGTTAAATTTCTGCAGTCCCGGAGGTCCTCCTTGATTTCTAGTCCTACTGTTGTAGGAATGTCAAGTGAGGAAAGCAGGTGGGAACTTTCTTTCTGGAAGTCGCTGGGCAGGCAGGTGTGCTGGCCTCCCGGCTCCGTTCTTGCACTATGTGGCTGGCTTTCAGAGAGCAGAAGCCGGTCAGATGAAGGTGGGGTTTGTCTCCCCTGCCTGCCCACACAGCAGCTGCAGAGAGCAATACAAAAACTGGGTAGGTGTTGGTTTTCTCTTTCAGTGTTTGCCTGGAGCCAGGGCGCTGGCTTGCTGCCTCCCTGCAGCCATGCACTCCCTCGTGTTCCTCTGTGCACAGAAGGCGGTTTCCCACCACTCCACAGTGCGCGGTGCCTTGGAGTTCATCCCAAAGGAGTTGTACCCAGTCTTGTTCAAGGCGGCCTTCATGGACAAGAGGACCCTCGTGCTGCAGGATCTGGTGCAGACGTGGCCTTTCCCGGTACTCAGCTTCCAGAAGCTTTTACGGAAGTGTCAGCACTGCGACCGCGCTCTGCTCCAGGAAAAGCCCAACAAGCTTTGTGTGCAGACTGTCATCCTGGGAGTGGTGGCCTACCTGAACGAGGCTCTAGACGACCAGCTCCACAGCCAAAGGTATCTGTCGGCACACAGCTCATCATCCCCAACCAAAAGGGTCATATGCTAATGGGAAGGAGGCGGGAAGCAGGCTTACAGTAACACACTGACACAGGGGTCCTCACATTCTTTGGATGGCTTTCATGCACTTCAAGGGCAGCAGTGGTGGAAGAGACAATAGAGAGACACATGGGCATCTTGGAAGAGAAATTAGTGGGGAAAGGGGAGGAACTTGGCGGTCCCTGCAGTGTGGGGGAAGGAGGGCTACCAGGAGGAGATATGGGCAAAAGAAGACGAGCTGTGAGCTGGTCAGAAAGGACCTGAGCCCTTGCAGCCATTTCAGGCTGTGATGACCCCACTGCCCCAATAGTTAAGGTAAATTCCTGTCCACACTCATAGGAGCATTAAAGGAAGCACAAGAATAATCATTATTCCTGCAGCCACAGGCACTTTCAAACAGTGTAAAGCAACAGATTTCAGGCATAAATACAGGCACATTTAAGAAACACGTGTTTTGAATAGATAACAGGCTACAGTGAAGGGAGCTAAACCCCTTTTCCAGTGATTGTGGCAATAATCATAGTCCAAGGATCGTGGCTTTACACAAAACTGTGTACAAACAAGTACCCGGACGCTTAATGCAAGGGGTGCAGCTGTTTTGAAACGCACCATTTTTTTTCATTCGTGGTTCCAAGGAACTGAGGTGAACTCTCAGATTGTGCTCACGGTTCAGTTTTCAGTTCTGAAGCATGAACAAAGGTCAGTGATTTGGTGTTGCCCCTTCAGAGCTGGGTGGCTGGAGAGTGGCATCTGCTGAGAGCCCAACTCTTCAGGCAGAAGCTTAGAAATAAGTATGGCAATACCATACCATCCAGAGTATGGTAATCCCAGCAAAGGATCTCAAGGTTTTCAAGAGATTTTGTATGTTCCTGTGATGCTCCTGCAGTAGCCTTGAGACCCCTTTTGGATCAGGACACCCAGTTTGAGAAACGCTGCACTAGCGTGTTAAGTGGTGTTGTCTGAGGCCTCTGGCCCTTGACTATAGCCTGTGGTGACGTCCAAAGCTTTGCTTTTGTTCTTGGTTGTGTGACAAGATAATATGGTGCTTTCCATACTGGCCTTGCAGCTCAAATTGAAGTTGTGCGCTGCATCCCGCTGGAGGAAGAGCTGCTGATCAGTGGTGCTGGATGCCGACATAAACCTGGTGGACTAAGAATTCTAGGTGTCTTACCATGTTAAACCAGGCATCCAATCTCAGTTTCCTCAAATTGCAGCAGAATGGGATGCCTCTCAGGTAGCAGCTGCTTGCCAAAAGTCTTCTCTGGCCCCTTGCATGGGACTGTGCTGTAGACCGCACTTTGAAAGCAGACGCTGGTGCCATTATGCCTGTGCTTTCTCTTCTTGGTGGCACTGCCAGCCTGTTGGCAGCATTAAACAGTGGCAGGCCATAAGCAGCTTTGGGAGGTGGGATACAGTTCAGTAACTCTTGCTGGGTAGCACTTAGGGAAGTGAAGGATTAGTCAACTATCCGATAAGCAAATGCTTATCGGATAGTCGACTAGTCACTTCCCCCCCTTGCTGCCTCTATCAGATAGCAGCACCACTTGGAGCCTGAAGTCAGCTGCGGACTTCCCAGCTGCCCCCGGGCTCTGTGCGGCTGCTTTGAAACACCACAGCGGCACCCTATTGACTATTTGATGAGTCAGTTACATGATACTTAACATCCTTAGTAGCACTGGTCTTATCCATCTTCTTGCAAATGAACATGGCTCTCTTCCTTTTGGAGGGAACAATCTTAAATCTCAGCCTGTCTTAGTCATTGTTCAATGCCAAAAATACTAGGTGCTTTCTATTTTTTCTGTAAAATGAAAGTCCCTACCTGAAGGTTAGGGGCTTGGGGCAGAAATCAGGAGACCTGGATTCTAGTCCCTGCTTTGTGACCTATGGAAAAGGGACCGTGATACTTAGATCTCAAAGCTTTCTGAAGTAGGCTAAGCCTGAGATGCTCTAAACCATATTGGCACCGAATAGTGTCGCTCTTATTTTAGACTCAATGCAACAAATGAGTGATGGGCAGTGGCAGGAGACGGGGTGGGGAAGGCTCCCCGATCTAGAACAATCAAATGATCAAAAGACTTAGATAGGCAGGGCCACCAGCCGTGCAGCAGGAACGGTTAAACCAAGGAGCTAATCCTGAGGCTGGGTGTCACATCATCTGAGCAAGACAAGTGGCTCAGTCGTTACAGCTGCCACAGAAGGGAGCTGAGGCCCCAGTCCTGGAGTGAGAGCGAGTCTTTTCAAGCCAGCTGTTGATACCAGCCCCCCATATATTGGGAGGGCAACTATATGGCCCAGTGTAGGGACTGCTTCTGCCATGGCTGGGTGAATGAAATAGGTGGCCCAATAGGTCTTTTCAGTCTCTCATTTTTTTGCTGATTTTTTTTCTTGCCTCCCCCAGCAGGAGGCAGCGCCTGCAGGTTCTGGACATGACCGGGCTTCAGGATGATGGAATAGACCAGGGCCCCGAAAGCATGAGCCTGTGGTCCAGGACAGTGACGCTGGCGAAAGCCTGCATTGACGTTTCCAAACACCAGAGCAAGTGCGCCAAGCGCACCTCAAAGCGACGGAAGGGCCCCTACAGCAGCTCGGTGGCTCTGCCGCCGCCACGGCCTGTGTCCGTGGAGGTCCACGTGGATCTCTTTGTGAACAGCACCTCTTACGGAGTGCTTAAAGACGCCTTGCAGAACAACGCCAACAGCGTGCTGCGGCTGAAGTGCCGGGACTTCAGGGCGGAGGAGCTGCCCATTGCAAGCACCGTAGGGCTCCTGGAGTTCCTGGATCCCACGGGGGTTCGGCAGGTGGATCTGAGATTCAATAACCTGGGGCTGTCTGGTCTGAGGGTGATTCTCCCGCACATGGCAAAATTCACCAACCTGCTCAGCCTGAAGCTGCCCTACAGCAACATTGATGTGAGGCGGCTCTCCGCGGGCATGGAAGGAAGCCTCCACTACTTCGCCACCCAGCTCAGTAGATTGTCCCGTCTCAAGGAGCTGAATTTGGGCTCCTCCAGGCTTTCCGGAAAACTAAAGCAACTGCTGGGGTAAGCTGTGTGTAGGGCCAAGGGGACCCAGCTGAGCACTGCCCTGGCCAATTGATTCTGTGTAATAGACTAGGTTGCAGCTCTTCTTTTGGGACCAGGGGCGACTACATGTCCCATCATGCAATGCTTCATCTTGAGCAGAGAAGCTTCTTTGCATTTTGGGGCCTGTATTCTGCAGCCTCCTCTAATGGGAAAGGTTGGCCAATGTGCTGCATGTCCTGTCTTACAGTTCTCCGAGTGTCCAGACCTTTATAACTAGCATGAGAGATGTTGGTCACCGTATGCGTCTGAAGGTTTAATGTGGGTCTTGATTTGTCCCTGAGCTATCGGTGTTGTGGCCTTTCCATGCCCTTTGATTTCTGTCCTGTGCGAACGGCAGTCGTTATCTACGATGGAACTGACCCTTGCAATCTTTCTTCCCACCAGCGATTTGCAGGGTCCCTTGGAGAGTCTGGAGCTGGCCTTCTGCTACCTGCTCCCCAATGACCTGGCCTACCTTTCCCAAAGCCTTCACACCCCCACTCTGAAGAAGCTGGACCTTAGCGGCAACAACTTATCCGACTCACTTCTCCAGCCCTTCCAGCGTCTCCTGGAGGAGGCCTCCTCATCTCTGCTCCACCTGGACATCATGGAGTGCCGCCTGATGGATATCCACCTGGAGTCGCTTCTCCCCGCCCTGTGCCGCTGCTCTCGCCTTCGCTACCTGGGGGTGTTTGGCAACCCCCTCTCCACACGGGGGTTGAAGAACTTGCTGCAGAGGACCATGGGCTTGTTGTACTTGCAGCTCGTCATTTATCCCTACCCCGTGGACTGCTACAGTGAGAACCTGCCCTGGCCCCCCACCTCCTCTAACCTCTTGAATGGGTCTGTGGATGAAGAGAAGTTCTCCAGGGTGAGTGCTGAGCTGCAGCAGATGCTGCTTACCGCAAGCCGGGCCAACGCCGTCTGGACTACGAACTTATGCAGGCATAATACCCTGGATTATTTTAACTTGTAGCTCATGGGAATGCAGAATGAAGGAGACACCAAACTGATCGGGCTGATAGTTTTTAATGCCCTGGCAAAACCGTGAGGGTCACCAGAAGCAGCAACACCACTTTTCTACCCTTTTTTTAACAGCATCGAATCATGGCATGAATTCAAATGGGAGTTCTCGTCTCCTCTTCCAAACAGAGGTGCAGTAAAGCTGAACTTCAAGCCACCAGCTCTATGCCTCTCTGTCTGTGGCTTATCCCGGTAGTGCCGTTGCTCTCCTGTCTTGCTGTGCCTCTGGCCCCCTTACCCTGTGCGGGTTATTACATGCACCTTACATCGCGCTGCAGAGTTGTTAGCAAAGTCTGCTAGCAGAGTTCAAAGCCAGCAGCTGGACAATGAGAAATCCCCCTTCCAAAAAACACCAATCCATTCTAGCCTCCTGGCAGCCTACTCTTCTCTTTCTCTGTGTGGATTACCTCATCTGAAAACCTCTGTCCATTTCTAATGTAGCCCTTCATTCTCTCACACGCGGCATGCTCAGAAATTTCTATCCGTTGTCTAGTTGTCCGAGCACCAAACCCACTTGCCAGACAGATACAAAAGATGGGGAGACCTCTATTTAGGGACCTCTCTACTGTGCTCCTTCCTGGCTTTTTGGCTGCTGCCAGTGAAGTATCCCCAGCCTTTGCTTTGGAGTCCTCCTGTGAACAGAATATTTCCTCCTGTTGCTTGGTGCTTTCCTATGATGCAGCAAAATGAAACTGACCCAGTTCTTATTCATTTCACAGCTGCCTGCGGCCTTTAGTAGTGGCAAGGCTGATCCCTGTCAGTTTTCTCTCTGTTGCTGGTGCGTAGAAGGTCTGAGTAGCAGCCAAGGCATTAGACCTGTGTGCGGCCTGGCTGTTTACAATCTGCATGTGTGCGATGGCTTTCTTCACAACCAGAAAGGCTAGAAACTTTTGTCATGAGAGCTTAGCTCCCACAGAAGGTTCCCTGATAGACTTATCAGCATGGGCCTGTGGAGTTTATCAGCTTCCTGACCTACTCCCTAACTTTTAATTGCTCCATTTAAAGAATACTTTCTCCTTGGAAAGCCTCATGACCTCACTGAAGCAGGTAGCATTGCAATGACACCCAAGTTTTAAGTCTTGTTCGCTTCCCTGAGACCCATTTCTCCTCTGAACATCTTGTCTTCCTCCTCTCCCTAAAACCTCTCTCTGGCATGGCTGTGCACCCAACACATCATCTCCCTGGTTGAGCTAATAGAGAACGATCCTGCATTAGCCAAGAGGGGCATACTAGATCTCTTCAGTCTAACGTGTTCTCGGCTTCTGCATACAATTCCACAGTCACGCTGTGCCACTAACTGGTTCCCCTCCGGGGTGAGTTTGTTGCCATCTGTCTAACTCGTGTCTGGTAATGGCTTCTTTCTTCCCTCTTCCGTAAAATCCCACCAGATTACTTGCATGGCCCTCTGCCCTGTCTGCCGGTATAGTCGTCATTCCCTTCTGGTTTTAATTCAGATTGATTCAACTCTACTGCACGTAACTTGATACCATCAACCATTCCTCTCTTGATCAGTTAAACTTCTGGCTTCATTTTAACTCTCAACAGCTTCAAAGTTTTCAAAATCAACCTGCTTCTCTGGGTCAAGGCGACCTCCCTCGCCCTGCTTGCGGTTTCCTTGGCATCAGACTCCGAATTCCCACATCCTCTGTGGCTGCATATCTGCGTCAACTCCTTTGTTCTGGCCACTTTGAGGAATAATTGTTCCCAGTGGAGGGTTAATTTTGTGAGAGACTGCCCAGCTAAGGGACTTTGAAACGTATTTCAACACGTTACCCTTGTGTTAGCTGGGGCTTTCCCCACTCTGTTTCCCAAATAAATCTGTTAGTCTTTAAGGTGCCAGAGGACTCCTTGTTGCTTTCCCTGTTACTTTAGCAATGCATGCAGCCTCTCTGAAATCAGTTCACATTTGTACGTATCCTCTGTTTAGCAACTCCGCTAAATCCCTGGGCATTCAGGATTCATTTGCAAACCATATTTTTAGATCTGCTGCCTGGCCACCCTATCTTGCATTATTCCCCGCTCCCTGCCTGCTTAAAGCTGGTCTCCTCTCTGGCCTTTCGCACTGTCTCCATAGAGCAATCTCTCGCCACCCTGTGAAACACACGCTGCGGAATACAGTATCTGTTTGGCAGAGGTTGCGCTGCTGCTGTTGGACATGCTTGTTTGTCAGACTGTCCCTGAGCCACTCGTCTTTCTTCTGCCTCTCCCGGGGCCAGTCATGTGGCAGTCACGCCCGCTGTCCCATTCATAGGGATGACATTGCTGCAGGAGCTGCCAGCAGCAAAGCCCTGTCTTCAGTAGTGGACCTTTCATCATCAGAGTCCGAGAAATGTCAGGATCTTGAGAAGTCATCGAGTCCAGCCCCTTGCGCTGACGCAGGACCACGTAAATCAGACCATCCCTGACAGGCATTTGTCCAACCTGCTTCTGAACTAGCCCAATGATGGGGATTCCATAACCTCCCCAGAGCCCCGTTCTAGAGCTTACCGTTAGCGTTAGAAAGCTTGTCCCTGGAACTGACCTAAATCTGCCTGGCTGCAGACTAGTTCCTATTGCTTCTTGCTCTGCATTCAGTGGACATGGAGAAGACATGAGCCCTCATCACCCTTGATGTGTTTGAAAACAATCAAGTTTTCCCATCTGCTTGCTTTTCTCAAGACTCCACATGCCTGGCTTTTCTCAGCTGTCCTTTATGCATCAGGCTTTCTTTCTAACACTTGCGCATTTCTGTTGTTCTCTGCATGTGGTTCCATCTTTCCTGGAGCGTGGCACCCAGACCTGGTCACAGTTGCCCACGTGTGGGAGGAACAAAGGGAGAAGAGATGAGTGTTTGAAGTCGGTGGGGTGCAGTCTTCCCTAATTCCTCCAGCAGTGGACCCTCGGTGTGCTCTCATGTCCAGCAGGACTCCAGAGCTCTTACCCCATTAGAGGGAAGAGTCACTGTTGAAGGTAGGATACACAGACATGTGCTAGCTCCACACGAGCCAGCATACTAAAAGCAGCATGGTAGCCGGGAGTAGCATGGGCATCCCCTTGGGCTCGCTGCCCAGGTTCTTTCCCAGGGGGTCCAGCCAGGTTTGTACTCCGGTGGCTAGAAAGAGCCTCCAGCTATGCTAACCTGGGCTGTGCTGCTAGTTTGAGCTAGGGCATGTCTGTCTGTCCGAGCTGGGAAGCCCGCTTCTAGTGCCAGTGCAGGCATGTCCTAAGAGCCCCCTCTGTTCGTCAGCTCCTGTTCCTGGTCTCAGCTGTGCCCACCCCTTCCTCTTTCATCTGTTCACTTCTCCACATGCTTTCATGCTGCTCCTAGGCCTGGACCAGTTCCTGTTGTTAACTCCCCTCAAATCCGACCTCTTTGGTCACCTCCATCTTCTCTGCAGCCCCCTCTCTCCCTGTCCTCATGCCTGCTCTTCAGAGATTAAGCAGACACCCTACCAAGCAATCTGCCATCCCCTCACCTTGGTTTGTCTTTGCACCATGTCAGTTTCAGATCCACAGAGCAGGCACTTTGTTTTATGGCTATGCACATTAGCTGCACGAGCCCCATCTGCAGCAGTGACACAATCTTTTGCGTTCCCTTCCCGCCATGGATTACTATGTGCCTCTCGCTCTAGCTGAGTGCAGTGGTTGCTGCTGATGGTTCAATCAGTATTTATTTTTGGAAATGACCTTGCGTTTGTACAAAACCCACCCAGCTAGCAGGATCCCACGGTGTTTTACTAACTATGTACAAGAGATTCTCATCTGCTGATGACATGCAGCCACCTCTGGGGGTGAAACACACAGTCCGTTCAACAGCGCAACATGTTAGGACACAAGCGAAGAAGGCCGTGTCTATTTAAAACGCACGAGGGGATTCAGGGAGGCAGAATGTGATTGCAGGAGGTGGAATTTGATCAATGGGTTGATGTTTTGATGCTTGGAGAAAGCACCATTAGAGCTCACCATGATGTTTATTTTATGTGCCCTTGGGGGAGAGGGATTGCCATGTGCCCATCTGCGTCTGGAGTCTACAATAGCCAGTTTCTCCAACCACTGACACATTAGGCAGGAACTAGCCCTCTGTGTCCCAAACAGGTGAGTCGGCAGAAGAGAAATTCCTCACATGGGCAAACATTGCCCGAGAAATCAGGCAAATGATTATTTCAAGTCTTAGTCCAAGGGGCCAGATGTTCAAACTGCACCATGCTGTATCCGTTCAAGGACAGCACATACCTTGCTCCATGATTCTATGGGACAGTCTCCCATTTCGATCTCAGGCAGGGTTGTGGGGCTGTGCCTGTAGGCTGAAGTCATGATCATGAGAGCAAACTGTGGACTGCAGTGGAGAACTAACTCTTTTAGGAGCACTTTCTTTGGGATTTACTAATCCACGGCACAGGGGCAGTTTGCTGTCCAAAGCTGCACTGCTGTTCACACGCTGTGCTTGACGTGACTCCCGGGAAAGGGTTAGCTGCTATTAGGTAGAAGGGACTAACCACTGCGGTCTCACTTTGGGACACAGGCAGCCAATGAGCATGTGTGCCGATGATGTAATAGTTTCTAACTTGCGTGTCATTGGTTGCAAGTGGTGTTGCTTGCTGTTGGCCGGAGGAGTCTCTCTTCCTTATCCGGTTCAGCTAAGATCATTAAATGCTGGACTTGTTTTCTAACTTTCTGTACTGTGGCTAACTACAGGCCAAAGCCCCCAGCTCGCTTCGCGGGGGTAGGAGTGAGGGTAACGTGCCGTTCTTGATAATGTGAATTGGCTGAAAGTCTTAGTGCGGGCACTGCCTTGCCACTTTCACGGCGGCTACCTGCTTCAGCAGGCCCTGAGCAAGGCTGCACAGGGGCCTGGGGCAGTGCTGTGATGAACCATGAGGAAGCCGTTCAGGGGAGCCTGCCCCCGATTGAAGACGTTCAGCATCATTCATGCCAAAAGGCAAATCTCCCATCTCTGAACACTCTACAGCAGGGTGGGCAATAACTTTTGCAGGGGGGAGCCACCCAGTAAGTTTTGCTGTGAGGTCATGGGCTGGCTGCAGCTCCTGAGAGAGGTAGGGCCTGGGGCGGAAAGGTTGGGGCTGGGGACTAGCCTCCCCACAGAGTTGTCTTGACCTGTTTACTGTTGTGGGCTGCATATGCAACTCTCCGTCGGTTATGTGGCCACACACGGTAGATGCTACCTTTATGGCCCTGACGGTATCATGGGCCACGAGTGGCTCACAGGGGGAGCACCCCTATTTGAGGGAATCCTGCCTTTTCACCAGTATAGTGACATCCCCTCTCCCCCCC